CTTGTTCCCTTACCTTTCTCCTACTCCTGCTCTTCCTCTTCCCCTTCCTACCCTCTCTCCTTCTCTTTGTCTCCCTTCCATCCTCCTCTCCTTACCTCTTTCTTCTTTCCCCGTCCTCCTTTCTTTCTCTCCTCCTCTCTCCCTTACTATTAAATGGAAAAAAGCGGGGTGGGAAGAAGGGAAAAACAGAAAAGAAAATATTAAATATATAAGTATATATTCAAGGGTGAGATATAAAGTGTGGGGGGGGGACATAACTAGGGTAGACTAGTGAAGGTAAGGGAATAAGAAATGATACTAAATTATATTTGGGTTGGTGGAAATACCATCCCAAGGAAACATAAACTGCGTTTTGAAATACACACCAACAATAATAGAAAAAGAAAGGCTGTACAACGTTTTAAATGAATAAATGGAATTTGCTGTGTTCGAAGACAGCAAGCATGAACGCACCAAGAACCAGAAGGAGTGAGACAAATGCAGGAGAAGGCCGTTCGTTACTCACATGCCCTCCTTGAGGGCTTCTTGGCAGACAGGTCCAGTTGGACACCGGACCAGAGGACCTTCACTGGTTCCTCAGATAGTCAGAAACCGAGCCTGCTTAGGTGCAGTTCATTTGAGGATACCATAGGCTGGGAGTGAAACAAAAGGAAGGTTAGTCCTTCTTTTGTGACCAATATGGGACTGTCAATTCAGTTGTTAAAGAGACATAGCCACTAAGTGAAACACCATAGTTATGATTTTACTTCTGTTTTCTTTTGTCAATCTTCAAATGGTCATAAATCCAAGCGCTGGTTGTAAAATTGCTTTTTCATATGAATGGTAGCTAAATAGGTCAGTCACTAACTGAGGACTAGCTGTACTTTTCTCAGTTCAGGCTGTTCTTTTGGGCTTTCATCCTGTCTTAATACTTAATACAATCCACAAAGCTTTTTATAGATTTTATTTTAAAAGCAGGAATTTATTTATTTTTATTTCTTCCTGCCACCATGACAGCGCTTGAGTTCTGAGGGGAAAATAAAAGCAGGACATTTTGTCTTAAATTCTATCTGATCATGTTACTTCAGTTGACAAATAGTGGTTTTTACATACATTTTTTTTCCTTCTGTACTTCTGCCTCCTTTGCTGTCTTAATTGCCATGGCTACCATGAGAGGCAGAAATTCATATTTTGTTTAATGATAAGAGAAATGAAAGTTGAGTGATTTAAGAACAGTTGTATGTAGGCATGGAGTGGCAAAAAATAACTTCTCCAGAGATACTGTAAGTTTTAAATAAACTTCCTAAGTTCAAATATTTTTTAACTTTTCATTTATTGTCAAAAATTCAGACCTGAGTTTTGAAAGAACCTAGAATTCCCATGAAACTTGAAGATCTCCAGAACTTGCATATTTTTTTGTTTTGTTTTCTGAATTCTTTTGCAGGGGTTTAGTCCATCAATTTCCATGTAGCACCTCTTACTCATTGCCTTGTCTTGCTAATTCAACCCTCCCCGTTGCCTCTCACCTATTGCCTTGTGTATAAAAATAAGTACACCTAAATGAGAAAATATATTTATTTCTGGAATCGTTCTTTGTTCTTAGCTTGATCTTTGGAGCCATCACCTGCTTCACTGGATTTCTGGGCGTGATCACTGGGGCTGGAGCTACCAAGTGGTGCCGGGTGAAAACACAGAGAGCGGATCCTCTGGTTTGCGCTGTCGGGATGCTGGGATCAGCCATCTTTACCTGCTTGATTTTCGTTGCAGCCAAGAACAGCATTGTAGGAGCCTATGTAAGTGGTCAGTCTGGAAAAGGAGAGGCTGAAGTCGGATTTCTCTTCCTTTATTCCTTTAAAAAGCCAACACAGTTCTAGGCTGCATAAACAGAGGGATAGAATCAAGATCACATGAAGTGTTAATACCACTTTATAATGCCTTGGTGAGGCCACACTTGGAATACAGCATCCAATTTTGGTCACCACGATGTAAAAA